TGGCGCACAGGTGATTGAGCGGGCCTGGAGCTTCCTAAAAGAGCGGGTAAAAATCAATCAAAACCCCAAGATCGGATCCCACCAGCTGACCGCGAAGATCAGAGCTGCCCAACATGAATATTGGCAGCGGGATAAAGATATAAGGGCCAGCACTAGCACCTTTCTCGCAAGGTATACGGACAATATCACGTCAAGGCCCATGGGGGGGCCTAGACCTCGAGGTGGATACACAACATGAGTTTTAGCAGCGGGCAGGGGTATACGAGCCAACACTAATAATTTTCTCGCCTAGTATATAGATAGGATCGCGACAAAGCCAAAGGGGGGGCCTAGCTCACGAAGCGGCATGCTAGCGATTCAAAAGTCGTATCTTTTTATTTCGCCTGCTCCATATTTACTAATCTCCAATGCAAGACCTCTAAAATCTTCTAGTAAACGCCCTAGAAAGCCGCAGAACGAATAATAAATAATTAAGGGGGGGGGAAGTATATATATATATATTTATTTAGAATCATGATATTTATTATGATAAAATCTCATATTAGATAATATTCTATAAAAAAAATATAATCAGCTATTTATAAAATCATAATATTCCGTAATTTATATAATCCTACCCGAAAATATAGATGAATTAATAAGAAATATCATAAATAAAAATACGATCAATATATTTTTCGCGAGACTACCACTCAAGAGCCTTTCAAGAAGAAACGCGACAAAGCGCGAGGTTACAGGGGATAAGCGCGCGCAAAAAAATTAACGCGACCAGCACGACGCCGTTTTATTAGAGAATATTCGTATAGTATATATATGTGTATATATATATATAGATATAGATATATAGATTTATAGATATAGACAGATATATATATATATATATGTAGGTATATATAGATATATATAGATATATATAGGTATATATAGATATAGATATATATATATATATAGAGATATATATAGATATATATATATATATAGATATATATAGATATATATAGATATATATAGATATATATAGATATAGGTATATATAAAAATATTTTGGCGCCTGTGTATTGAGCTAGTGGCTCATGAAGCTATGCCTTTCCTTGTGAATTGACTTGCGTTTCATCCTAGCTGAACGTTGCATGCTGTGCAGCTTTAGATAGGTAGTGTGAGACATGATGACTGGGATGCAGTCTCAGTGCGCTGATGTTGCCATGTGGGAGCCCACAATATATATATATATATACATATAGAGATATATATATATATAGATATATACAGCATTCATAAAGTGAATCAAATATATATATAAACTATTCATTATATTACATTTACCAATATAACGTAATGAAATATTAATAATAATATACTAACAGTGATAATAATCATTTGGTCACCCACTTGAGTTTTCATATTATAATTTTCTTTATATGCTTTTTATTTCAATATATACATTTATACCTTTATTTCCTATATAGTGTCATTATTTATCTTTTCCTATATATAGTTATAGATATATTGTCTTGTATTAAGAAATCGATATTATTTTGATGAAGATTTGATTTACAATGCCTTGCCCCCGAGCATGCTGGCCATCACCTGAGTCGATACCATGACATTCCCTAGACGGTTCATGTAAGTGGTATGCTCTGTTTGACTAAGCATTGTGCACCTGCGCCGGCGCCATATACCATGAATGCTGCCATTGTCGGAGTCCTGGACATGGAACCGGGGCCAGTGTGTTCGAGGTATTCCATCTGCACTGCTGAGACCGGAACACTTGTGGGTATCCTGGCAACGAGTGGTTGAAGAGGAAACATGCACCGATCTTTAGTTTTAGTCTTGCAATCGGCTTTCAAAGGAGCGTGCGGAAGAAGAACGCAGGGCTGGCAAACCTGCAAGAGCGCATATGCGTGAAAGCATGGCCCATGGATCTCTTATAAACAAAGTTGCAAACATAACTCAGATTTTTCACAAGGGACTCGACTTCTGCCCTTACTACCCAGCTCGACCCGCAACGCAGTACTCATGACTGCATCGCGAGACAGGCCACTTCGCGGCTCCAAGCTTCAGGCACAACTTGGTACGACACTGCCGCAGATAGCGAAGCACCATGTGCAGAATAGTGAATATATCAGCAGCTGGATCAGAAGACAACCTCTGCCACCCCTCTGTGACAGCCGACCAGATGGTAGCATAACTCAGATAGCTGTCTAAAAAGGCTAGACGGCTGGCGAGTGCCCAAACTGATGTTTGCCATGAAAACCTTTCCGAGCAGATTCGGTGTCCAGACCCTTCGCAACTCCATAGGAAGCTCCACGAAGCGCTCAAGCCGGAGTGCTCTTTCAGCGTCACTAGTAGCCAGCCCTCATCCTCTTATAGTCTCACAACTCGGACAAGCCAAGCGAGGATCCACAGTCGCAAGGTCGGAGTGATACTCATTGAAGGTCCGCTTGCCCTCATCCTCTTAAGTTGTTGCTCACGTGGGGGCGAGTGTTGAAGAAAGGGTGGTCAACCCCTTGGGCGCACCGAGGCGGGAGCTCAACAGGTTTTTCGGGCGCAAGCATGCGCAACGGGTGCTGAGGACATCCACTTGGAGCAGACCCGGCATCATTGTCATTGCGGCCCGGGCACTGTCGAACCTGAAAAGGGTTTTAATCGTGTTGTTGAGGCTTTGCCCGCGATATTCTGGGCAAACGCAGGCCAGCATCATGAGCATTAATTACTGAGGATGTTAGGCGAGACTCTGTTTGGTGCTTGACATTTGAGCATGATACAGACCGGATAATGCTCCTTACGCTGGCTCTCCCGGGCACATATCCCCGCCGTTGGTGAACATGATGCTCGTGCACGCGCACCCTTGCTGCTGGCGGTCCAGTGAACTCGTGGTAGTGGCTGAAGCCCAGATGTCGAAATCCGGCTAGCTGTCTGAAGGAGTCATGCTGCCCTTGAGCTGTGAGCTAACGCTCGAGCTCTGCACACCCCAAGACACCATCTCTGCAAACGAGCAGCGGGACGCCCAGAAGTCCTTGCTGCACTCCCCATGCACCAATGAGGCCGCCAGCTGCCACATTGTGCAGCAAAGATCTTCTACCTTTCATGGAACTCGGCTGTTCGAAGCCCAACACTCACAGGAATACCGTGAAACTGTTGCCAGATGCCCTTGCCAATGTGAAACAGTGAACGCAGTGAATGCAGGCCCGGCCTTGCAAAGCTTCCATGGGACACTGCAATGCCTGATAAACGTACAGCAAGCCGCTGTTCAAGGCCTCGGTATGCCATCGCACCAGCAGGCTCAGCACTTCATACAATGGACGAGGCTGAAGCTTCGATCGGCATAGAAAGTAGCTTGCCGGCGAGGGGTCACATGGTCTCCAAGCCCCATGCAAAGAGAGACAAAGATGCAGGCGCCCCTTGCAGCACATGAATCACCTGAAGGCACTGTGTTCGAACAACCTTGCTCTGCAGAAAGTGCTGACACTTGCAGAACTAACTGCCCATAGAGACCAGGCGTAGTGAAGCAGAACATGAACAGCAGCAGAAGGTCAGCCATCACCAGCAGCACTGCCACTGAGCTCTGAGTGCCCGTCGGAAAAGCCGCATCCCCATGTGATGGAAGGCACCACCTTGGCTTGAACCCCAGGCTCGAGCGTCAGAATCTTTTGCTGATACCTTCTGTGTCTAAGGAAGCATCCTAACAAGCCTGCACGCTCCATGGCATGAGCCAGCATGCATCCATAATAATGGCGAGGGCTGCACTGAATCCCTTACACTTGTCTCATGACCAGTCATATGATCCCAAAAGATGCAAGCATGCTTTCACAGGCCGTGCCGGCCTTGGGCACCCACCTTAAGCAAAATTTCACTTATTGTGAGCTCATCTTGCACATTTCGCTTCATGCATAGATGGATTTCCTGAACCAGAAAAGCCCAATCAAAGGTTCCTAGAGCCTCTCGAAGTCTCCATCCGACACGCGAGCGAGGCAGCTGGAACCCAAAACTGACGCTCCGTGCTCCTGAAGGCGTACTGGGAGGGAGATGCTACCAGTAGGGTAGAACTCTAGAACCATCGCACATAAACAAGACTTCCGTTTTTCCCGGTTTTATTTAACCTGCTAGGACTATCTAGGACTGAGAACAGCCTCCCTTCTGCAATGGAGGGGTCAGTCAGCAGTGAAGAGATAGAAGCGACTGAAACCAGCGGAACAGACCCAAACGTGCCTGTCGAATCGGGGCCGGGAAAGCTTCGGGGTGCAGAGGGGTTTGAAATTACGTACATCGAAGCTTGTGGGGTCGTGGGGTGATGGTGCGTAAAACTGCATAAAATGTTCCGACATGCAGCTCGGGATACATCGCGAATCTCAGGTGCCGGCTGGAGCCGTCAAGCAATGCTTCTGATAGGCGGGACTGGCCAGGCCGGACATCGGCCCGTAGGCTGAATTTATGTTGGAGACGTGTCTGCCGCTCTTGATCGAAAAGGCAAGATCAGCATTTGTTCGTCCATGCACTTGCACTACAGCATAGATATACGGCACCTTGATGCACGGACCTCCTAACATACATCCGCGACCCTTAAGCCGATCAAGCTTGATGCAAGCAGTTGTGATGATGTGTGGCTGTAGCGATTTTTGATCTTGGAACGCTGAGGCAGCGTGTGTTCAACATCTACTTCTGACAGGCACAGCATCCACATAGAGCAACTTTTGCAATGCGAGCCGGCACGACTCAGGTTTGCGAACACAAGACGACATAAATGACAAACTGATTGCATAGATGAAGGTCTGATACATACATACACGGCTCGCGGACATGAGTGGCCTATGTCTATCGTTGTGGATATGCAAACCCTTACACCGAACCATGCGAATGGGATGCAGCATGATGCGGATGCAAGTGCTACAGTAAGCCAAGGGGATGTGCGAAGCTTTTTGATTAGGCTTATTTCCGCCAGTAGAGACCAGTGAGCGATTACGTAATCATCTGGCTGAGTGTTGACGCTCTGGCGGTCTGCCTCATATGGGGGGTTGGACACCGCCGACCTTAAGCTGGCGAGCGAGGCACTGTCGCGGTTAAGGCTTCCATTGCACCGGGGCCAGCGCAAAGTCTGAAAAATCTGGGTAAGCTGAAAGGTCCGGAACGTCGCCCGTTTCCGCAGCCTCAAACCCAGCCGCACTCTGTTTTTCGCAGCAGGCCTGCCATAGCATGGCTATGGGAGGCAGAGGGCACTGCCTTCAGAGCGATCATCGCCGCAACCGCCTGGTTTTGTCGCCACAAGATCACGACTGCTCGGCTCTAGCTCCTTGACAAAGAAGCGGAATCGAAAGATCCAAAAGCAGGATCCGAAATCGCCCAACCCTTTTCATGCGAATCGAAACCATACAGTCGGAAGGCCGCAAAACGAAGCAAGTCTTTCATGCTAAATCTCAACGTGATCTCTTAGGAGTCCGAGGTCTTCGCCAATTTAGAGGTCGCTGTCCTCGCATCCCTGAGCAGATCAGTTTTAAAACTCGACTTTGTATTACAAACCTGTTTGCCGACTAGGAAGGCAATTGATACCAGGGATGCTGAGGACCTCATTCCTTGTAATGCTGGAACGGCCCAGTTGGACAGTGCGCCGGCAGTTGTTCTCAAAACCACGTCGAACTTGATAGCTTGGTGTTTGCTACGGCGTGAAACGGCAGATTTCCTAAAGTGATCAGGACTACAAAAACCAAAACATTCGCAGCAGATGTAATTGCACGGAACTCGGCTCCCAACGGCGTTGGGCCAACGCCAATGCCCCAAACACCTGCCGGGTCACATGGTGATCTTGATATGTAAGACACTGCTCCAAAAAACGTCACCATCCCACCTAATGTGCTGCAGATAGCCAGCTGCAGAGGTTCCTGCAGAGTTTCGCAAGGCAGGATGAGGATGCTTCAGGTCTGGACACTGTCCTCCAGGGAGGCATGCGTCTGCAGCGCGAGGCTCACTTCGGGGAACCTGCTTCTGCCAGCTGTGTCTTCACGTCACGACATGAGAGTGCCATGCTACAGGAAATGAGTGCAGCACGTCTCGTGGTTGGGATCATCAAAATAAACAAGGTCCTCGAGCGATTTGAAGCACCCAGCCAAAGCAGACTCCTGCGAGGTCTTCCCGCCTCCGAGCTTGTAACCAAGTCCGCCAGAACTGCATCGATGCAGTCATACAGTGGAGAACTTGGTCCGTCCTGGGAAATCATTTCGTAAACGGAATTTCCAAAGAAAACGGATCCATTGACAAGGCCCCAACGGATGCAACCGCAACTGCATCACTGCCCAACTCCTGACACGAGACTGCAAAAGAGTCTTCTGTCACCGGCAACCACATCAAGCTCGTGTCCCAGATGGGCCAAATACATTGGGACTGTTGAGAACTCAACCCTCCCAAGCGTAACACTAAGTCTGCTGGACTCAAGGGCACCGTAGAACCTTTGCAGCGTCCAAGTCTTGCTGCCACCGCAAAAAAACAAGGAAGGCTTATTTTGTGTACGGATTGGCAAAATCTTCGTGCCAATGGGACGAATTGGGTCGCAGACTTGTGCTGAAACCATTTGCTCAGGCGCTAGTGGCCCTGGCTTCGCCAAACACCACTGGAAAATGCACTGGATTCACTAGATCAAGCACATGCCACGAACGAATTCTATGGTACGGTGGCAAGCTATGGAGAAGACTTCGGAGACGCCTTTGGAGACGCCCTCACTCTCTTGGCAGCTCTGGCAGCCGCCTTAATCTCAGCGTCATCCTCGGCTTCGCATCGCACTGAGTCTTGCTGCCATCCACTTGTAGCTAGGCAAGCAGGCGCCCTTTAGCCGCCCAAGCATCAAGCACGGTCTTTACAGACTGACCGACCTGTTTGGCATCTGGCACGAAAAGCGTGATCTCGAAGGCCTGGTCCAGTAGTGGACTCTTGAAGGATCCGCATGTGTTCACATCGACAGGCCTTCGAAAATGCATCCAAAGGTATGGTCCCGTCTTTTGTGAAGGACCGATGTCCTGCTCCAGGGGTAGAGAAGTGCCTTCCGTCTGCAGTTTTCTGCCCCCGGGGGTACACTGACAGGTTGCCGTACATGAAAGAAGTGAGTGATGATTCGGAGGGTCAGCGGCAACAGGACAGCGTTTCCTCGAATCGCACCAGGCCCGTGTAGCAACTGACCTAGATGAGAGATCTGCCGGGCCTGAGAATCTTGAACCTGTTTACATCTCGTTGGCACACTTCCCTCGGATCGCGCATCTTGTACGTGCTGGCCTCTGCATCCGCTGTCGCCAGAGACGGGCCGCAAGTGGCGAGGGAGAGAGGAGGAGGAGGAGGAAAGGCCGTAACGATTCGGAGCCTCTCGTACGTTGCAGGGCTTTCGCGCTTTCCTGCAGCCCGTCTCAAATAGAAAATGAAACGATCCCACAACTTTCATCTCAGACTTGAAAACCAACGCACCTTTTCAACCTGCAGGGGTCTGCGAGGGTCTGTGTATGTTGTCCACCATCGCCAACGAGACAAGGCACAAAAGAGGCACAGCATGCAAAAGAAGCGGGGACACGACAGGGCGAAGTTCGAGGAGAGACTGGAGTGAAGGAGGGCCGCAGGAGCCGGGCCAGTCCCAGACACGTGCAGGCCGCACGAGGCATACTGTTGTGGGGGCGTACCGCGGAACGCAAGTGGCAGTTGTTGAACAACACGGCATGTCCCTCTCTCTCTCTCTCTCTCTCTCATCTCGCCACCCTCCGCCGGCAGTGTTGCCACGATGTGTCCCAAAAGGACCCTTGTCCTCGAATGGTTTCCTTCATTCTCGGAAGTCGTTCTGTCCTGTGCAGTCGTCCAGCCCCGATCATGCCGCGGCACTTTTCTGAGGCTGTCCTCAACCCTTTGACGACAGCTCCGAAAATATCGGCCATCGTCTCCATTGCCTGCATCTGGAGGGCGTTGACCAAGAGCAGCTAGCACAGTTGAGTTAGTTTGTATCACAGAGAGAGAGCGAGGCACGCACATGCACGCACACACACACACTCTTGCAATCCTGATCTGACTTGACTTCATCCCAGCATGTATCGATGACT